AGCTGGTATATTGAGGCTTTGGGAGTAGAGCGTGGCTGTGATCCTCAACAGCTGTATTTTTCCTAGGCGCGACTGGTTTTGGAGTGCTTGCCATGGTGGGGGGCTTCTTACTTGGAAAGTTAGATGCTTCTACCTGATCTACTGCGAAGGCAGTGATAATAGGCGTGATGTTTTCCAGCAGAGTCGCGACAACTGCTGCTGCTTGTTTCTCTCCTTTGCTCTTAGCCCAGGAGTCGATTAGTTCTAGAAATTCCTGGGCTATATACAGTCTTTCTTTCCGTTGTTGGTCTGCTTTTTTCATTGTATTCACAATGACAAGCAGGCTTGGGTGAAGTTGCCCTCCTGGATTTGAGGGCGTTGTCGATGACGATGCAACAGCTGGGGCCATTGCACCGATTGAAGATTCTTGTAAATAAGGGTAATGGGTAATGCAATGTGGGATGAAAATCGTTGTAACATTCGATTTCCTTAAGTATAATTGGTTACTTAGGATGTAATAATTGGCCAATAATATCAGTTGACTATTTTAATTTTTAATTTTAAAAATAGATGTTGATTTTGATTTTGATTTTGATTTTGATTTTGATTTTGATTTTGATTTTGATTTTGATTTTGATTTTGATTTTGATTTTGATTTTGATTTTGATTTTGATTTTGATTTTGATTTTGATTTTGATTTTGATTTTGATTTTGATTTTGATTTTGATTTTGATTTTGATTTTGATTTTGATTTTGATTTTGATTTTGATTTTGATTTTGATTTTGATTTTGATTTTGATTTTGATTTTGATTTTGATTTTGATTTTGATTTTGATTTTGATTTTGATTTTGATTTTGATTTTGATTTTGATTTTGATTTTGATTTTGATTTTGATTTTGATTTGATTTGATTTTGATTTTGATTTTGATTTTGATTTTGATTTTGATTTTGATTTTGATTTTGATTTTGATTTTGATTTTGATTTTGATTTTGATTTTGTTTTTGTTTTTGTTTTTGTTTTTGTTTTTGTTTTTGTTTTTGTTTTTGTTTTTGTTTTTGATTGAATTTAACGTGGTGCCTGGGTGGTTGATTTTTGGGGCTTCGTCCCTACTGTGTCGGCTTGTGTGACAGGTGATATTAACCACGTGACATTATTCTTACAGTAGTCTAGTTTTATTCCAGGTCCTTTTTTTTTGCATCAGATTTTAATTGCGTATGCAGCTATCTAGCTATGACATAATACCAAAGAAAAGTACAGAATAGATGATTCAACGTAAAGGAAGAGCACTCATGCCTCAGATTTTATTTGCAAGTACCACTGCGAAGTTATGCCGGCTTTTTCTTCACCCAAAGTCAACCCTCATCCGTGAATACCCACCCAGGGGAACTTCTCAAAAACCCTGAGTTATCCAGACATGCCTCCATCATCTTTCAACTTTTTTCCGCGCGATCTGTGATCTGAGGTGTCTCCATCCCAAGTGGAGTAGGTGCCCAGGCTACTCAAACTATACCGGAGAACACCACCAGGAGGCGGACCACAGCACCTTCCATCGTTGGCTTGTGTTTATAGTGTCAAATGCACTCTCGCAAGCCAAGTCTTGGCGCGCACAAAGCTCAATTCGTAAAACTCCTTGCCAAATTCGGAATCACACGCCCTTCGAGGTTGTATCCTTCATTTGCATCATCTTTTCAACATGTCCTGATCCCTCTCACGCCCATCCCAAAGAACTGTCTCCCAAATTTATGCGCCACACTTTGTGTCCTCTGTAGGGTATAAATATCGGCGTGGGCGTGTATTCAGCAGCGAGCCGAGGCCAGAGAAGGTAGACTGTTGGAATTTACCACATTTCTTACGATAATTGGCATTCCTTGCAAGTATGAACAACTTTCCTACATACTGCATAATACATCCTGTATTCTATACTTTAATTTCTTTTTGCTGTTGAGATGTTCTCTCATGCATTTGCATGTGCGGGATAATATCATACTAGGTGCAAATGCAGTGAGAGATATGGTTATGTTTACTTTGCGACAAATAGGATGGCGTTGATGGTGCGGGGTCGGCACTGCTTTATTCCCCGCGCAATGGTTTCGTGGTCAGCTGTGCTGAAGACTTTTTACTGTAATAATTGTTGTTCGCATACCCACTTTAACTCTAGGATATGCGCACATAAATTCGCGTCTTACATGTAACTTAGAACTTTAGTGGAAACAATATTCTTTGAGCTATACTTTCTGCTCCTCTTACTATGAAATCGCAACATAGACGAGAGGTGTGGTCATTAGAATAAGGATGTACTAGGTCGTACTTGTTAACTTGATGAGGTTTAGGTATGAGTCGGAATCTTTAGGAGTGAATATTTGACATGGTGGAGTAATTTGAATCATTGCCTCGTCGGCCAACTTCTTTGATATTGCGAAATTTGACTGAACTTGGCTCTGGGAGAATATTTCACTCCCAGATTCGTAGAGGACACCGCGTATAGGTGTTCAGTCTTGCCCTCCTTATTCCAGATCAAGTCAGCTGTGACTGGAATATACGAGAAGCAGATATCAGCCAAGAACAAGTATTCTAGATATGTTCATAAATGAATAAATAGTTGAAGTAATGCTTTAATAGTTTGCCATAGAGAAAATTATAAACTACCATAAGATCTGATGGTGGTTAGCTTCATGGTAATGGTGACAGGACGAGTGTGCTTACGGATGAAGACGATACAGACTGCGAAAGCGATCGGGAAACCTCGCCGAAGTGAGAATTTTGTTACTCACCTTCGGCACTGCAGAATCTACAGCGAGAGCTGGAGGTTCGTAGAGGACACCACTGATAGGTGTTGAGAATGGGCCCCTACATTCTGGATGGCTTTCAGCTTGAGAGTCAATCATACTCCGGGTTTCATTTTCAAAGACCACTACAAGATGTCTTTGCTTACAAAAATAGTCGAACTTCATCCGTAAGTATATACGAAAGAAAATTTCAAAATCTCTGGTTATCCAAGCACGCCCTCTTCATCCATACATACCAGCACCGCGAGAAATATGACTAAGCTTCACTGCATCCGAACCAGCCACTCATTATCTCAAGTGGGATAAGTCTCCCTACTATAAATAATCTACTTAGAATACTAGCCCATTTGATATACCACTGCATCATCCGGCCAAAGCGGTGTTCATGGTATCACCTACACTATCGCAATGCCAGGCTTAGCGCGCAAATTACTCTTTAATTCATGACTCCTTCCCCTAATTTAGAGTCACGCTCATCGAGATACAGTGGTACTTACAAATGAAATCTGAGGCATGAGTGCTCTAATATTATATTGAGTCATCTATTATACACTTATCTGATATTGTGTCATAGCTAGATAGCTGCATACGCAATTAAAATCTGATGCAAAAAAAACAAAACTCATCGAGATTATATCCACAGGTTATATTTTCTCCTCCACTAATCCTGATCTCTTTCTTGTCCATCCCAGAAATCTGCCTTCTAAATTTGTGCACTTCAATCTTAATCCTCCTGCAGTTATTAATATTCTTGTTGGCATGTATACAGAGGCCATTTGAGACTAGAGATTGATTTGACAGGAGATATATTCATTGAACAGAGGATTTACTGGGTCGTACATGCAGGCTTGATGAGGCACTGATAGTAATCGATCTCGTTGTTGGCAAAATAATGATAGAGTAGGGTATCACGAAACAAGATCGTCATGTGTACCATCGTTCGAACGGATGGACGGACGGACGAAATATTCAAAGTTTACTCTAATTCACTGAATTAATGATGGCACACAGAGAACCACAATTCATACTATGAGTATATACAAGAGAAAGATAGTTTACAGGAATATGACTAAGCGGGCCCTGAGAGGATCACCACCCAAGAGACGCATAAAGTGGATGGGAGGAGTCTATGCGCTAAACCCATAAAATAAGAAGACTTAAATCATTGCCTCAACGGCTAATTTCGATATTGCGATATTTGACTGGAATTGGCTCTGGGAGAATAATTCATCTCCAGGATCGAAGAGGACACGAGCACAAGCAATAAACCTTTAAACTTGTGCATTGGCACCGTCGTATTTCTTCCTCTTGTTGGATGATTGTTTTCCCTAACAATTTATTATCACCCAGACCTCTAGAGGAAACATACAAGTTGTTGGAAATTCAGATTCCATGTGCCTGAAGTTTCCCATGATTGGAACAACTAAATTTCTCACACATGACTCACGGCCTGACTCATGACCTAGATAATTGATATCTCCCTTACTGAGCATGTTTGATGCTTGAGACTCGACTAGTGCATGGTATGGTCTGATAGACGTGTAGGCTTTCATCCACCGAACCTGACCCCATACTCATGTTGTATACTGTCATACAATTCATTGTCATTATTAGAGTATGGAACGAGTGATGGATGGTATCTAGTCTAGATTTGGTCTATCAAGATTACATGTATAGAAGCTGTCTAGGAATCACCAAGACAGATAATCTAATCAATTCAATTCATTCAACCCATCTTTTATTTCTCCTTAGTATATCACATATTCTCCCGATTCATAATATTATTATTCTATTCATAAAATCGCGCCCATATTCTTTGAGCCGCCTTACTCGTCGAACCCATACCAATTTTCCAACACAAGTATATAATCTTATCCCCATGAAGAAACCTACGAGTAGTCAGGGTAAGAGCAATGTCTCCATTTTATTTCATTACAAAGTTATCGTCTCCCCACAGAGGTTTAAGGTCAGGTACATGACTTTTACCATGTGAGCACCACTGACAAGACAAAGAATTATGCACCCGACTCACTTATGTGTATTAATTCTACCAGAAAAGGATCGGAAAGCTAACCAATTACTTGATCTAATCTTTTGGTTCCTGTCTCACTCGACCCACAGAACTAGGGATGCTAGATCAGCTGTCGACTCAGCCTTTAACTCACTGTTCGCTTTAGCTAAATATGTGAGGAGATGAATCTTTATCAGACAAAACTTGTCGACAGAGGAAAGGATGGTATCCTCATCATTATACCTGGCCCTAACAAGCCTTCTAGTCTACACAATAAGTGCAGTTACTGTTGAATCCGATTTTATTTGTGGGGAAAAAGTTATACCAAAAGAGGTTATTCTTATCGCCATTGATCGTGCCTGTCAGACTCTATACAGTTCATCTAGAAATATTAAATTCCCCTCCGTGTATGTTGCTTCCACCACATTCTCTATCGACGATGCCGTTCTCTTTGCTTGGCCCATAACAATGCAAGCAAAGCAATTTTCTAAAGGTAGAGACCAATTCCCCATCCAAAATTCTTGCACAACAACAAGCAAAAGCGATAATTCAATTCCTGATAAAATTTTAGGAAATCCTGGTAGCTATCGTGTTCTAATAGACTCGAGCTGCAAATTCATTGGAATGATTGTCATCTCAGAAGATAAACATGATATGCGCTGCTATCAACCAGTGAATACAGAGCGCTTTCAAAATTTGTCTCTCAGTTCTGGTCAAGAAAAACAGCCTATTTTCCGTGGTTATAGATGCCAGAACAAAGTTTTACATATTTTGAAAGTAGAAAGTATCCGAAATAAATCTATAAACTTATATAATTTGTGGAAATCTCAAGGAAAGAAAACAAGCTTATATAGTTTCGAGGCTGTTGACAAGCTTTTTGAGACGCCCATCTCTTTACTGCCTAGTGATATGGCCATAACTCTGAATCATAATACAGGTACTATTATGGCTTTTCAAACTCATATCGATGATTTTCTTACAGATATTTAGAGATCTTAAGTAACCCCTATTTCATTGTTATCAATTCTCAGCATAAAATAGTAGGCATGGTCATACGAGGCTACAATAGCTGGGCAAAATGTGACGAGCTTTGGGAAATGGAGCCAGAACCCAACCTGTCTTCGGACCCCTCTGAAAATTCTCTCGGAGAACGTATTTTTGAAGGTGTGAAAGCATACAAATGCGGCAATATGAATTTCTCGACCGCATCAATCAACAGTCACTTGCAACTGGCCTGCAATATAATCAATCTACCACGATCCTCGGACTCTTCTAGTGCGGGAAGTCACACTAACCGGCCGATAAAAGTACCAAAAATAGGAAATTTTTATGTTTGGAAGAGAGCTCTACAACTGCCCGAAAAAGATGCATCTCTCAAAAGTGAGAATATCTTTGTAAATTATCAAAAGCTGTGCTAACTTTATGGGTAAATCTGAAGGATCGAAGAATAATCCCGTCATATTGTTTGATCAGGAATGTAATTTCTACGGAGTTCACTGGTATATTGGCTCCAAAATTGTGGAATGCAATAAACTATGACATAAGACTACCTCTGAAAGGTATAAGTATCAAATTAGATAAACCAATTTATTCTGGTTCGATAAGTTTGGCTTCAAATCTAGAAACTTCATACATGGAAGTGGAGAAAAGAGGAAAATCTATATCATATTCGAAACATTAAACAAACATAGGACATGACAAAGACTAAGGGGTAAGACTTCCGTCTCGTTGATAGAAGCTAATTATTTCTTTAGGCTGCTCCAAGACACCACTGTAATGAACTCCAACCTTCATAATAGACCCATGTAGACTGTTAACCGTTAATTTGTTGCCGCTAGCAATAACTTAAGGTTAAATTAGCTGGTATGGCTTCAAAGCTCACAATATTAGAAAAGCCAATTTTCATCTCATAATTAATTAGATGTATGTCACAGACTGCTTCTCTTTTTTTTTTTTTTTTTTTTTTTTTGAATCATTTAATGTGTATTCAGCTATCTAGCTATGACACATGACCGGTGCTATGTAAACATATTGGATGACTCTTTTGACATTAGAGACACTCATACTCTGGATTTCATTTGCAAATACCACTATGAGGTATGTTTGCTTACACAAACAGTCGACCCTCCTCCGTTAGTACCCACCAAAGGGAATTTAAAAACCTTTAGTTATCCAAGCATGCCTTCGTCATCCATGCATACCAGCGCCGCGAGAAATGTGGTTGTGTTTTGCCGGATTCGAACCAGCGATCTACTGTCTCAAGTGGGATATGTGTCCAAGCTATCCAGACTCTACTTGGCAGACCGGCCAAGATGATGTACCACCGCACCATCCAACCATGGCAGTTTTTATAGTGTCGCCTGCACTCTCGCAGCCGAAGACTAGGCGCGCACAAAGCTCAATTTGTAAAAACTCCTTTCCAGATTTCAAAATTCCACGCCCGTCGAGACTGTATCCAATCCTCTGCATCATCTTATTAACTTGTCCTGATCCCTCTCACATCCATCCCAAGGAATTGTCTTCCAGATTTGTGCGCCACGCTTTGCTTCCTCCGTCGGGTGTAAATATCGGCGTGGGCGTGTATCTGGCGACCAGCTAAGGCCAGAGAAAGTCGACAAGAGGTGTGGTCATTGGGATTAGGATGTACTAGGTCGTACTTGTAAACTTGATGAGGTTTAGGTAGGAATCGATTTCGTTGGGAGTGAAAGATTGATATGGTGGAGTAATTTGAATCATTGCCTCGTGGGCCAACTTGTTCGGTATTGCGAAGTTTGACTGAACTTGGCTCTGGGAGAATATTTCACTCCCAGGTTCGTAGAGGACACCGCGTACAGGTGTTCAGTCTTGCCCTCCCAGACTGCTTCTCGTTTACCGCTAGCGCCGGTTTGTAACTACCCTTGCTCAATGAGACCATATCACTCTTGTTACGAAACTCTATGTTAGTATATCAAGTTAACTTAGGTTAAAACTGAAGTCGTATAATCTGTAGCCAAACAAGGGTTAACTTCAACTTAAATTCTATACTGTAGTTAGAGATAGAGACAGGAGATCATCACAAGTTTTCACACACCGCGTCACAGCTTTACCTACTGCAGTAGACACGTGATTATACCCTGTAATCCCTATCCTCTACCTGAGCTTAGTCGCAGCTCCATAGCCATTGCCTACTATTTGCGTCACAGATCTATCATGTCTGATTCTGCTTGGTCGCGGTAGTTTGATACTTATTTCTCTCCCTGTATAAAAATACACACCTTCGCTGGATGAACTGGGAATTCCACCTGTAGTGAAGACTATTCGTGAGTGTTAACATAGTGGTAGTTGTGCTGTGCATGGAGGGCAGCTTCTTGTCTTGTAATTATTCTAGACTTTAGATCAATCCAATTGTCATAAGTCTTAACTGAATATTCCGACCCCGTCCCTATCACAGTATGATTTAGCAAGATCGACGAGCTCAAATCTGATGAATTAGATTATCTTCAACGAAAGAAGAATCTTTACAGAATTTTCAGGTGATTAATATACGATGTGGGCCACTTGACTGGTAATAATGCCAAGTGATAATACCTCACAGTTTGAACCTTTACAGACCAATCTAGTGTCCTCAAATACAAACTTAAACCCAAACCGCATGACAGCACGCCTCCAAGTAGGCGAAAGAAGCTTTTTGTGTACAAATCTCCAGCTAAACCAATTCTAATAGACTCAGAATATGAGTTTATGAACTCATAATTAGAAGTTAACTTTCTTCCAGTCTCGATACCTGCGATCGAGGTGCCCACTAATAATCAGAAGCCCTTTGTTTCGGAGAACTCCAGAAAAATCAGATTTAAGGTCTCTCTAACTCTATGCAGGCGGCTGCCATAATTCAAGCTCAATGCGAGCTGGAGTCAACTACTAGTCCACCACGCGTTATTCGCCACCCTTCGTCGGCCATGACCAACGATATCGCTGCATGATTGTTGACGCGACAAAATACCGGATCACAACACCTGTATACTCTTCTTCCAGCTATCGCATTAGACTTAAAACCCACGATGACGTATAGCGCTGCTCAGGTTATCGCTGGTCTCCCAGTTTTTGAGGAGTCAATTACTACTCCAACCCAATACTATTGCAAAAACAAGTTCTCTGCCTGCTACGGTAACTACCTTATCCTACGCAAGTATGGCAAAAAAAGATATGCAATCCCGAAATCAACCATCTAAGGTCGCAAAGAACACTGCACCTGCTGTGGTAAACAACAGACTCGATTCAAGAGTCATGGCTCGATCAGTACTGGACCACTCCCTTCGACACTAGGACGCTCTTCCCGTCCGCACGAAACTGAATTGTCTTTTAGAAAATCCAGAGCTAATCAAGGATATCTATTTGGTTCCAACAAATATCGTCCTCGCAGCTCCCTCCCCTGACCAGGCTCCAGAACTCCTTCAAGCAGCTGTAGCTCTACACGTGATGAAAATTGTTCCAATTGAAAGGCAGGGAAAAAGAGTAAACGTCTTTCTCAGCCCAGTTTCGAAATATTGGTACAATTCATCCGGATTCCCTGAGGCTTCATTCGTTGCTGAATTCGGCAGGAGCTAACAGCGGCCAAAATTGATACCAACTCAACATTCTCAATCTCCTGGACGCAACCCTCGAAAGAATCACCAAAATCGGAGGTAACAATTCGGATAGTAATCTTTAAACCTGCTTCGGAATAACCTCCAACCAGTATCCGCCTCCTTGCGCTGTCTACCAGAACTCGCCCAGCGGATAACCGTACACGCCTTCAGGTTTGCCCCAGATTTCACGGCTTCCACAACATCGACGCTTGCACACGCCTGGCACGATTTAGTCTCTGCACTCCAGTCTCTCACAATGGACAATGTACGACACCCATCAAATGCCTAAATTGTGCCGGCTCTAATGAGGCCTCCTAGCTGTTCAGCCCAACCCTTTCGCGCTAATGGGGACTTAATTCTTCCAGACAAGGAAAGAATCCTTTTAATAGGTTAGAGGGACAAAAAGCCTGGCTTGCGCTAAATCTCTCCCCTCCACATAGTGACTCTCTCATTGAGAGTCCATCCTCACAATTCTGCCGGTACATTACCCCAGCTTCTGTACTGTCGGTGTGATCGGCATCGAGCTTTGCTGATACGGCGTGCGCTAAGAATACCGGAGATTGCCGCATGCCGAAGGTAAAGTCTTAAAAATTAAGGATAATAAATACTAACGAAGGATACTTTGTTGGAAATGGAGACACGGAGTGTTGTAGACGTATGGGCCCTCCATTTCGTCTAGGTTCCCGACATGATCTCGTGTGTATTTAAGAGGTTGAAATAGGTAATATGGTAGCGCTTCAGGCTACCTATTGGACATATGAGCGGCTGTATGGCGTGGGCGCAAGGAGATTATTGGGGGTTTTCTATGCCTAGATGGTGCCACACTCGTTTATGCTGTGGCTTTGGCTACGTGTCGCTTACACTTGTACTTGTAGCGCACATCTCCCACAATTTTAGCCGTAATCTGAACATGACATTCTTTTAGTCAACTTCTACTTTCGTTCCATGAATATTGCACCCATTACATTGCGCGATATTTCCAACATACTTTGAGTTATTTAAACCAACGAGGTGTCAGGTTTTCAAATACTGGAGTGACGGAGGATATTCGAAAGGGATTATTCAAAAAGCCAAGTTACAGAGCAAGCAAAGAGGTTTGATAACTTGAGATCGACTAACGTACGAAGGATGTAACGAGTAGTGAAAGACTGAGAATATCGGATTGTGAGAATGTAAGATTAAAATATTAAATAATTGCTAGAATTCGAGATTAAAGACTATAAGTATGAAAGACTGAGAAGCTGGAGAGCAATTTTGTGGCAGCTCTAGCTTCCTTAAGTAATACTAAAGATTCTACAATTATTCTACTCAGGCTAGCACATGATCTAGCCCTGACTCCAACCCTAGCCTCAAAAGGCTTGATTTAACCTGACGCATTAACTTTGATGATAATTTAACTGTGACTGCCATAGATTTGTTGAGAATATTTTTCTTGGAACTTTACCTTGAAATTTCCGCTTAATCACTGATTCAAGAATGTCCCGCCATAACATTTGCTCCTCTGGTGTTACGGATACTAGCATTGGCATGGTGATACCACCAGCGTGGCAAATAGGTGAGCACACGTACATGTAGATTCCGTAGACCGATTAGTTTCTCCTTTATGCAACTACAAATATATTACCATGTAGACTAAATTACTGCCCAACTGCCCGTGATAGTTAGTTGCATCCCTTTAATTGCACGCGCGCTAGCTTAGTTTTTCAATCCCAGTCGAAAAGAAAATATATTGTTGCGTGTTGCGATCCTTTCAATCTACAGCCCTTTTGTTTTTTAAACTAAACCATCGAGTACCGAAATCAACGAGTAATCGAGTCGCCAAACTACCTAGAATTTGAACCGAGTAATTGAGATCGGGATAAAGATCTTATTCCCGTGAAGCCGAGACTACGGAGAATCCCTGGGGAATACAAATGAATGAAGCTAGTAGCATCC